ATGTTACAGATTAAATTTGCAATTATGATCATCATTAACAACCGGCGTTGAACAAACTAATGCTAATAAATGACCACTTCATCAACTGTGTCCCCCATCATGGAATTGCCGTAAACGTTTTTGACGTTATTGAGGGCATACATGTATTAGCGCTAAAAGACGTGAGACGTTCTGGCGAATAACAATTCTCGGACACGTTTTGGGTTTATGAAATCGGACACGTTTGGGCAGCATTGGATATTATGGACACGTTTGGGGGGAATAGACACGTTTTGGGGAATCGGACACGTTTGGGGGGAAGGACACGTTTGGGAGTGTTACATATATACTGATGGCTATACATCTTTCTGTAATTTTTTGAACATTTAGCGGATTTACAAATTTAACGCATAATTTTTCCTTTTTTGCCTTGTTTCCATGGTAACGGCAGCCATTTTGGAAATTCCAATGCCAATTGCCGTTTCCACACATGACAGTAAACATTATTGTGAAATTTCATTAAGTTTGAAGCATTCTGAAATTTTTGAAATTTTTGCTCATGTATCCATGGTAACATAGTAGTTCCAATGATTGTCAAAATCATTCAAAACCTGTATATAATGAACAACTATATTGTATAAAAATTTGATGATTTCAAGTTTAAGCATACCAAAATTGTTCACCAAACACTAAAGTTTTTGGAGCATTTTGACCTTTTTGCATTGTTTCCATGGTAACAGCAGCCATTTTGGAAATTCTAACTCCAAATGCCACATCTTCCAATGTTGCTCATCGTTACTGTGAAGTTTCTTTAAGTTTGGAGCATTTTGATTATTTTGAAATTTTTGGTGTAGTTTCCATGGCAACATAGTATTTCCAATGATTGCCAAAATCATCCAACATCAGTATATAGTGGGCACCTACATTGTATTAAATTATAATGATTCTAAGTTTAAGCATATCCAAAAAGTTCACCAAACCAAAAAAATGGATTTTTTCACATTTTTTCCGTTTCCATGGTAACGGCAGCCATTTTTTGTGTTCTTAAGACCTACTGCAACCCGAAATTTTGTGTTCCTCATTATAGTGAACTATCATTAAGATTGGTTCCATTGGCTCCAAAAAAACTGCCGGACAAAAATCATTGGAAGAATAATAATAATAACAAAGAAACAGAGGAAAAGCAATATGTCACCCGACATTGTCGATCGGGTGACATAACAAGTAATCCTGTGTTAGGATGCTAACACAAAACTCGCCAAAACGGCCCCCAACCTTTGTTCTGCTGTTTCCATGGTAACGGCAGCCATTTTGAAATTTCAAGGTCGGATATCACATCTACACGTGACAGGTCACATTACTTACAAGTTTCATAAAAATTGGACCAATTTTCAAATTTAGGCATTCGTGTTTCCATGGTTACGGTGGCCATTTTGGAAATTCCAAAGTTAAATGCCACATCTACATAAGACAGTCAACATTTGTGTAAAGTTTCATGAAGTTTGAAGCATTTTGAATTTTTTGACAATTTTGCAGTTTCCATGGCAACGGCAGCTATTTTGAAAATTCCAAAGTCGGATGGTTAAGATTATCTGTGACTTGCATGTTGTAGAACCGTCAAACCTTTGCCTTATATAGCTATACCTTATCTGCTGTGAGCAGCTGACCTTACCATATACAGACCTTTATATTTCAGTCAACAACTTTTCCGTTAATTCCCAATGTATACATGTACTTAAATTTTATATCTTACCACCATATTCAATGCTTGCATATTTAAATTATTTGAACATCATGCATTTGATAATTATATACCTCCTCTTCCGATGACTGATTCAAACAATTGAGTCAGTTGTTGGTAGTTTGTGTGTTCTGTAGTACTGTCCGATATTTTGGCAATTCATGTTATCGTTTTTATGTATAATTCACGGTCGAAGTGAAACGAAGATTCTCTGCGTTCGATTCACACGGACTACGGACTACCGTCATGAGGTACAAAGTGACCCACAAACTTGGAAAGATAAAGATCTTTTAATGCATTAGAAGCTATCGGCGTAAAATGATAAGTCAAAACCTGAGAAAGTTGCAAATGAGAGGCGAAAGAAACAAAAGGGAAGTTCGTTTTTTTTCCAGACTGCTGCTTGTAGGTTATGAATAATGACTGCAAATCATGATTTAACATCCCATCAATAGTAGTACTTCCCCCGATATATTAAGCACTGATTGAATATACAACATTTGTTCGCCCATCTGAAATTAACTTGTTTCAGTTCTGAATATGCATGTGATGTTAGCAAATAGACTTTATGCAACAAACAGTCAGTCATATCTTTAACTGCCGAAACAAAATTGTTTTTCCAAATTGAACAAACAAAATAAAGGACAACTTTGCCTCATGGAATTGAAGTAGTTATATACACAAATTTGCGAAAAAAGCTAATACATAAGTAATTGTTACTGGACGAGTAAGTCCACCAGCAGCGATACCCACACTGTTGTAGTGTAAAGTTATGATAATGACTCCTATGTACAGGAGACATATCTCCACCAAGTACTCCTGAACACAAAAGCTTGAAAAGCTAAATTGATGAAAAATTTTGAGCATTGAAACTTCCTTAAGTTTTTAGAAAAGAATTAACTCATGGAAAGATAATCGCTGAAGACTGATCAATTTTGCTACGTGTAAAAAATTTAAGGATTTGTTCAAAATGTGCGTGCTATACTTTAGCTATTTATTATTGTGTCCTTCAGGAACGGACTATTTAAAACCATTATCAAATGTGTCGGATAATGTGAATATTGAGGTAAGACGTTACAAAACCTATACTTAATTTATGAAAGAATATTTGTAATTATTAATACTTACAATTTGCAGTTTTACAACAGCGAATATAGAGTGAACATAAGGAAATAAAAGTTGTCTCTCTTCGTACAGAACATAGGGTAATACCGTCGTCAATTAGACTTCTTATCTATACATTACTTAAAATATTTACTAAATTCTTTCATAGATACAAAGATTTATTTAGTAAATTTGGCTGTACCTGTAGAAATCTTATTAAAAACGGTATTTCACGGTAATATTGTACTAAAAGCACGGAAATCACTATGTGATCCGTGTAAACTCATCGAACCTTTAAACAAACTTATTAGTAAAGGTTATCTTATTAATGTTGTAATAATTTCCTTGAATATTGTTTACATTGGCACTAACATCGATTTCGTCATCAACAAATTAAAACATAACTAAATTTGTATTCTTTTCGAATGTATTTTGGGATGTATAAATACACATTCATGTTTATTTTCTATTTAGAGATTGCTTTATCTATATATATAACATGATACATATTTATTATAATGTTAAATCCTAACGATCCTACTGCCTGTCGATACTTTATTTTGGCATTGCACAAGTCATGTCTTCTTTGACTGTTAGTTGCGCTAAAACACTAAATCCCTTGGATATGTTTTAACTGATTTTAGTCTCTGGTGCATGATTTTTTATTGTTAATTGTTTTTGGCTTTTAAATAGCTTTCAGTAACTGCAAGTACTCTCAAATCGTACTTTCGTGTTAATTTGACCTGTTGAAAAAAATTGTAATGCATTTCTGTTATTCAATGTTTAATTATTTTGTGTTATATCTCGTCTGGCTATTTTTAATATAAACTACCTTTGATAAGTATTTAGTTTGACGATAAATTTTCACTTATGTACTCGTACTCTGAACAACAAATTTATTAATTTTGTAAACAATGTTTACTTCCGTACTCCTAACAACAAAATTATTATATTTAAATTAACCTGTGTACGTTTTTTTATTTAACGCAATTTTGTCCAAGGTTAGAGCTTTCTTTTTGACACTGTTCCAACTAATACACAATCGTGTATCTAACTACTGAATATGTTTGTTTCAAACCATTCTTTGAATTATGAGGAGATGTGAAATTACTAAAAAAAGGTGACAATGAAAGACAATAAGTAAAAGAAAGACAGAAAAAATACAGAGACAAACAAAAGTTCTGAAAACACTACATAGAAAATGAATCATGTTCTTCGAGAGGGTCAACAGTTACTGCTCCACTAGTGACAACTGTCATGCTACTCTTGTCATCATTTGTTCATTAAACATGTTAAACCTATACAATGATAATGCATCACATGATAGCAGATCGGTGTGTGTCACTTTTCTTACTAAGACGTGATCAAATTCATAAACAATTATAAAGATTAGATTAAGACAAGATGGATAGACATGTTCATTATCATATACTCACCGGTACAACTGACAAAGGGATAAATTGGTATCATTTTACTATTTCAAACCCCTGGAATAGTAATGAAGTTCCCAAAATTCTGAATTGTGATGTTACAAACCTAATTATCTTTATGTTATCATGAATATATATACTTCGGTAAATTCAGAATTTTTGCGAAAATTGCTACTGGATAGGTTTCGCCAAAAATAAAAACAAACATTTCAAATTTTGATAGCATTGCTGGTATGCACCATTATAAACTTAGGCCCGGGTGCAACATCAATTTAATTAAAAAATAAAGTTGTTTTCAAAAGATTTACATGTTATATATCCTATAATAGCTGTTTTCGTGTTCAAAGACTTTTTTTTTCAATTTGAAAATTACTAACTAATAATGCTACCATGACTATACCAAACGCCATCTTCAATGTCAATTGCAATTTTGCTTACTTTATATAGATATAGGAAGATGTGGTATGAGTGCCAATGAGACAACTCTCCATCCAAGTTACAATTTATAAAAGTAAACATTTATAGGTCAAGGTACGGCCTTCAACACGGAGCATTGTCTCACACCGAACAGCAAGCTATAAAGGGCCCCAAAAAATTACTAGTGTAAAACCATTCAAACGGAAAAACCAACGGTCTAATCTATATAAAAACGAGAAACGAGAAACACGTATGAACTACATAAACTTTACTTTACATTCAAAACAGGAAACAGCCTCTTACCATGGCTATACCAAACGCCAACTTCAATGTCAATTTTGATATTTCTTTATTTTACTTTACATTTAAAACACGAAACAGCCTCTTTTGTCATCTTTTACTTTTTGATTTGGAAGACGTTTAGGCTTTAGTCTAACCCCAGCCCTAAATTTGTTCAACTGTCCGTCTGCAATAGCTCTTTGGTTACAAATTTCACTGAATTAATTTCCTGTTAAAACCGTAAAAGTAAAAACACAATCAACAATAGAAATATATAACTGAACTTTCTGTTTACATATAATTATAATGTACAATCAGTTATTCTCAAATGAGTTGTAGTCTCCTTCGGAAAACACACTATTGCTGTAGAGTTCCATCGGGATACAATTCCTGGAATGAATTTATATACCAAATAATAAAACTAAGATGAACACTCAGATTCTTGTTTGACACTATCATTTTATTCTATTTGAATCATACATTAACCCGAGTAATTCAGTCGTTATATTCCACTGCTCTACAATGGCTACTCGCGAGTGGGAGAGTCGATCACGGGGAGGGACTGAATTATTCGGGTTATTCATACATTTACATATTTACATATATCTATTTTGCTAATCACAGCACGTGCCCAGAAGGAGCAGATTAATTACAGTGCACGATACATAAATAAATATAATATATCAAATAAAGAAATGACAATGATATGTTTGCATTTTCTTGACAACAATAATAATGGTACTACTAAAGACATCCAAAAAGAAGCAAAAGTAAGTAAAAAGTAACGGAATTGCATACTTATTAACCTTTTGTCTTGCTTCAAACTGCACTGTTCTCAAATACTGAAGCTACCATTTTAAATTATATATTGACAATCAATATTTTCATCCTCATTACTCATTATCCATATAAATCAATTTTCTAAACTAAGTATGTTAAAATCATTTGAAATAGTTTTGCTTGGAATAAACAGCAAAACTGGTAATCCGACATATTCTTTAACATCATTTACAAGGGATGAAATTTTACAAAATCACAAATCTGTACTTCTTTTTTTGGTATTAACATCAAAGAAAACGAAGAAAATCTACCGTCATTATACTGGATACCAAAACTTCACAAAATTCCTTATAAAGAACGATACAAAGTTTCATCATCAAGATGTTCGACTAAACATCTTTCTAAAGTGCTGACTACTATTCTTTCTACAGTAAAAGATGGCCTTCAAAAATATTGTGATGAGATATATTCAACCAGTGGTGTCAATCAGATGTGGATTCTCAAAAATTATAAAGATCTACTGCTAAATCTTAGATCACAATCTCTGCAATTTTGCAGCAACATTAAGACCTTTGATTTTTCTACGCTTTACACTACTTTTCCCCATGCTCAATTGAAAGATCGACTTCACCTTCTCATTAAACAGATCTTTTCCAATAAAAATGGGAATCGTAGATATAAATTTCTTGTTTTGGGTTATAATAATTCTTATTTTGTGAAGAAACACACTGATCCAATCAGAAAATACACTGACGATGATATTATCAAAAAAGTAAAACAACAAAAATACCGAACTCCAAGGAAAATTCAAAACGGAAAGTCCCTTAACAATTGGGAAAATCAAAAACTCAAACACATCAAACGAATGGAAAACAACTGTCACATTCCTGACTTGGTACAGGCATTTTCTTATGTAGCATTTTCTTTTCAAAATGCTGGACTTTTTAATCGACAATATATTTGTTGAGTTTGGAGGAATGATATTTCAACAGACAGTCGGTATTCCAAATGGGTACTAATTGTGCACCCCTTCTGTCCGATTTATTTTTGTACTCGTATGAAGCAGAATTCATTCAAAACCTTCTAAAAGACAAAAAGATAAAGCACCTTGCGAAATTCTTTAATTCTACTTTCAGATATATTGATGATGTCCTATCACTGACTAACCCATATTTCTGTCAGTACTTGCATCTCATATATCCCAGTGAACTTGAAATTAAGGGTACTACTGATACTAGAAGGACTGCTTCATACTTTGATCTTTTCCTCAATATTGACACAGATGAACGACTTCACACTAAAATCTATGACAAACGGGGTGATTTCAACTTCCTAATTATCAATTTCCCATTTCTCAGCAGTAACATACCCTCTGCTCCGTCGTATGGTGTTTACATATCTCAATTGATACGTTATGCTCGTGCATGTTCACACTATTCGGACTTCATATACAGGAGTGTGCTCCTTACGCAGAAACTGCTCCAACAGAGTTATAAGGAGGAAATATCAAAAATGACTGTTTTGCCTAGTGTGAATTCGCATTGCTATACGAGGTGTCTCTGTATTTATACATCCAACATTCATGTATTTAGTTATGATGTTTCTTTTGAAAATACTGTTGGATATTGTGTTATGTATTTTCGTTTGTGGTTTGATTTCTGTATTTTCGGTACATTTCACATATTTCTTATTTGTCAGTAAAGTCGAGTTAATTTCCATTTTCCATGGATAAAGTATTGTGTTAGTTCAAATAATTATGACGTCGTCACAGCATTAATTTAAAATATCGTTTCAAGACTGTCATAATCATGATAATTATTTGGACTAGTATTGTGAAAATAATTGTGAATTTTTGGATCTCGTTCCATATAATTGTATGAATTTCAAGATTACCTGTGATAATATATACGTCACAAAAATACGTCACTTTTTGTGGTGTTGATCCATTCATGTGACGCACATTTTGTGTTGTTCTGTGCTGTCGTTATTTCATGGGAGATGTCCGTTGTTATTCTTCGGTTTACATGTTGTAATGTACTATTATATTATTTATTTATGTATTTCTCTGTTCTGAGCGTTCTTGCGTTTGTTTGAACTGTATTCCTGTCACGTAGTTATGTCATTTTAGCGGCATTTCTTAACATTGTCATATAAACGGGAGGTTTAGCTAGCCATAAAACCAGGTTCGACCCACCATTTTTTCTTAAAATGTCGTGTACCAAGTCTGGAATATGGCAGTTGTTATCAAATAGTCCGTTTCTATGTATGTTGGCGTTTGTTTTTGTTGCAGATCAGTGTTTCTGTTGTTCCGTTGTTTTCCTCTTATAGTTGATGTGTTTCCCTCGGTTTTATTTTGTAACCCGGATTTTTTTTCTCTTAATCGATTTATGACGTTTGAACAGCGGTATACTACTGTTGCCTTTATTTAACTGTTTCTATACAAAGTTGATAAAGTTTTGTAGATTCTGAACGATTAAGATCTTGAGATATTACATAAGCTACTGTCGTTTGCTGGATGATGTTTAATTGTTACACTCTATATTATGTTTTAGTTATTTCTGTCGTTGAGTTGTTATCTCATTGACGTATATCCAGTATCTTCTGTTATTCATAGTTCAAACTTTTATTGTAAATAACCAAAACCGGATAAAAAGGCCATTTAGTGTATACATAAACACAGCATAGATACCAGGATTAAAATTTTGTACGCCAGACGCGCGTTTCGACTACAAAAGACCCATTAGGGACGCTCGAATAAAAAGATTAAAATTCAAATAAAGTGCGACGTTGAAGAGCATTGAGGAGGAACCAAATTTCCGAAAGGTTGTGCCAAATACTCTTTAATCGAAGCAGAGAACAAGATAGGAATTGCAAAGATCTCGGATGAACGAAGTCAGTTTAAATTTAGTAACTAACTGCAATACATTTTTTTTCAGTTGTTCTCTGGAAAGCACTCTTTAAATTACCAAATAAATTATTCTTGTTAGAGGGGTCTAAATACAGCACAAACAACAATTTCCAAAAGACCAAAAAAGTGAAAAAGTATATTTTAACAAAACTCATTTGACTAACAGGTCGAACAACAAATGTTCTTAAACCCTGCCGACTGCCATTAGCGATTGCCAAATAAACGGATCAGATAAAAATTAATACACACCTCCCTAATATGATTTGGAAGAATAAAACACGCTCTGTGAATATCACTACTGTAATACTTTAGCTTCCTCTCTTTTATCTCATTTTCTGTTAAAGTCTTTAAAGGCTCCTTAAAACTGGTATTCTGTCAAATAAACAATTGTCACGTAAATTTATATATAAATCTATAAATAACAAAAATAACAAGTACCAAAGTATCAATAAGATAAAAGTACGCAAAACTGCATTCGATATTAATAATTGGAAAAAAAAAATATTCAGGCAAATGATAAATGCAAACTTAAAGGTATTCAAGATAACTAAACGCTGATGTAACTTCGCCCAAAATATTCTAGTATTGAAATTTCTATAAAAAAATCATAAATACATCAAATATACCAGTCAAAACATTTGTTACATCAGAGGTGCTTCTCGACACTATAAGACTGTTGGAAGGCAAAATCAAAAGTCTACATACCACTGCACAGAAATAATAAAACTGAGCAACACGAACTCAACACATGAAATTTCTTTAACTTGACCAAATGTGACATTTCGAAATGAAAACAGTATTTTCAGGACAGTGGATAAACAAGATTGATACCTATAGAAACAACACATATATTCATAAATAAAACAGGACAACCACAACAATAAAAACAGTAAACAGTTGCGCCATGAGCGCATGATACGCCCGTCGTCTTGTGTGTGAATTTTTATGCAATAATCATAAATAGTTTCTGACATACGGCGCGACCCCCCTTTTTTTTTTTTACAAAAAACTCAATATCTCTAAAATAAAATTTTGAATCAAAACCAAAAAGTATACAGATCTTAAGATTAATATAACTAAGAAGTGTGTAAAATTTTAAGCAATAATCATAAATCGTTTTTGAGATACGGCGCGACATGCGAAACCCCCCCCCCCCCCCTTTTAAAAAAAAAAAATCAATATCTTCTTAAATAAAATTTTGAATCAAAACCAAAAAGTATACAGATCTTTAGATTAATATAACTAAGAAGTGTGTAAAATTTTAAGCAATAATCATAAATCTTTTTTGAGATACGGCGCGACATGTGAAAAACCCCATCCCATTTTTTTTAAAAAAAAATACTCAATAACTCAAAAATAAAATTTTGAATCATCACCAAAAAGTATACAGATCTTAAGATTAATTCAACTAAGAAGTGTGTAAAGGTTTAAGCAATAACCATAAATTGTTTTTGAGATACGGCGCGACATGTGAAAAAAAAACCACACACCTGTTTTAGTTACTAAGTCCCGTAACTCAAAAAGTTTTATTCTTATTTTCACCAAAGAGTATACAGATCGTTTGACCATCATAAGAAACAACTATAATAAGTTTCATGAAATTTGGATAAGTCGTTCTCAAGTTACGGTGCGACATGTTTACGCCGGACAGACAGACGGACAGACGGACAGACGACATTTGTATACTATGATACGTCCCGTCAAAACTTTGACGGGCGTATAAAAACAAAGCAATACGAACCCCTCTAAAACAAAATTATCTTCAACTATTCATATGAATGATCGCTAGGAACTGAAAGAAGAAAACTATCGTTCGATATTGTTGAAGCAGCTTCGAATTCAATAATAAGATGTTTGTAATTTTTGTTGATACATTGTAACTTACTGGATTCGTACCACATAGAAGAAATCCAATATGGCCAGGTGCGTAAGATGGGGTAACTGCATATCCATATGCTACTTTCGGAAATATCTTTCGTGAAAAAGTCATCAATCTTTTCACAACTGGTAGTTCAAAATACATGTCTTTACCTACAAAGTTTTAAAAAAGCATGCAATTCTAAATGTGGACAATACATCCCATCATATTTCAAAGTCATGTAAATATAAATTTGCGTACAATAAAAAATAACAACAAATTGTTCTTTTTAATAATTCATTGGAATATGCTTTTTGATGCATTTATGAATTACAAAAAAAAAAAAACCAGCTGACTACCTTATTAAAATTGTGTTATGCTTTATGTTGAACAAGATTACCAAACTATTTTTACGAAACGATTATTAAAACCATGCCATAAATTCATTCGCATGTCTTTATTAATCATTGGAATCTTTGAGTTTTCATTGTCTTATTTGAAAAATTGATTGTTGATGGCAGATCATTAATCGTGTCTGTTAAATCTTTTGGATCCTTTGTTAGATAATTAAGGGTATTTTACAGATATTGGCTATCGTTTGAAACTATATTTTGCTCTATAGATGTCCATTGATTTTTTTGTGTCGTTGACATATGCACTACACCTCTTTTTATGCACAATTAAAAGCACATATTCACATTAAAGTAAGAGCTCTTCTTGACAGTCAACTTATTTGAATTACTTTGTTGTTGAAGAGCGCAAAAAGTCATTTGTTGAAATTTTAGCAGAACGTTTCTAAATTTGAACTCTCCAATACAAAGTTGACCTTAACTGGAGCTCGATTTTCTTTTTACGTCCCCAGTTTTGGTTTTAAAAGTTCCTGATGAAGGTAAATCAAGAATCGATCGGAGTGTTATTTTCCTTGTGTATATATAGCATTCTAATATGACGTTCTTCTTTCCCTTTGGAAAAAAAGCCATGTTCTAATTCCAATAGAACATGGACTGCATGTGATGAAAGTCGTATTAAAATTGCAACGTCAGTTGTATTTTGAACAACGCTGATATTCAAAATAGACATTTGTGTTGGTGTTGCTCGCTAGGAACCTCAATGAATTCATTCTAAGAGTAATTTTACATGTATCTGTTCAATTTTTATCGTGAAAAGGTTGACTTTCTATATCGTTTTGGCTTCAAATCAAAATGTCTGCCTTTCGAACGTTTATTATAGGTCCACCTCGAAGTGCAAAAGTTTTAACTTTTCCTAATAGAATCGAAATAATTCTATCACGCCATGCTCTATGTTCATTTGAACATGAGTAGGCATTATATTTGACAACATTTTACACCTCGCCAACGCTTGGTATAAAGATATTGACATATTTAATGCCTACCCATGTTTAAATGAGCATATAGCATGGCATTAAAACACTATTTCTTTAATGACCCATGTAGCTAAACTATAATTTTTCAGTGTCAAAATGATAAATAAATAATGAAGGGTTATCCCCACCTATAAGTTTGTATGCTCTGCTTGATACCAGATTTACCTTCAGAACAAATCAAACCATTTGGTTTTAATGCTCTTTTCATGCTGTTATAATAACCTTCTTCATGCAATCCTTTTGCTGCTCCTATAAAAAATGAAAATAACACTTTATAAATCAAATACGTCCGAAGCGCTTTCAGGAACGCTCAAAGCCAAAGATTTTAAGCCAATGATGTATAAGTACCAAAACACGCGATCGATAGCTATATGACCAAAAGGGACCTAGATTATAGCCAAATCCATTTGAGATAAACTTTACGTTTGGGAGTTGGAAGCTTTGTTTGTAAATAATTTTTAAATCTATCAACGGACTATTTAAGAAAGATATGTATTAACTCATGCAATTAACGAATGACATTGACTACTAAGCTGATGATACCATCGGGTATTAATAGTTCACCAACAGCAGTGTCGACCACGTGCTATATAAAATACAAATGACACAAATTGTATGCGTCGGAAGCGTTTGTCTGGATTTACACTCATCAGGAACGGTCAAAGGTACGGATGTATAAGAACTGAACCACGTTGAGAGTTGTATGACCAAAAGGGGTCTAAATTGTAGCCAAATCCGGATAAGGACAACTTTAACTGAGGGAGTTGTAATCTGAGATTCTCATCAACGGACAATTTAAGAAATGTATGCGATAACTCATGTGATTCCCGACGTACTAACTACTGAGCTGGTGATACCCTCGGGGACTAATAGTCCACCAGCAGCGATAGCGACACTATGCTATAAAATAATACTGAACAAACACTTTGTAAATTTAATACGTACGAATCGCATTTATGGATTTTCCTTCATTAGGAACACTCAAATCCAAAACTTTTAAAGCCAAGGATGTATTAGTACAAAACACATGGAGAGATATAGGACCAAAAGGGGCATAAATTATAGCTAAATCTATAGATGGTCAACTTTCTAAATATGTAATAACTTCTAAATTAAGTTAACTACCCGTGAACTGTCAATCACTGTATAAACATGATCTGTTAGTTAGTTGTTTGTCACATTATAAGAAGTGAAAGATCTTATTTGAGTATGTTTGTTTTACACAGTTTTTTTTTATGATTTTCAAGAAAGATAACACGAAGTTGTAAGATTATGTTTAGTCTATTAGGCACAAATATAATAGATGTAGTTTCCCTGAAGCTGAAGCCCGCCTTCGGATGCGGGTTGTTGTCTCTTTGACAAATTGATATCCATATCCTTTCTTTTTCATCTTAATAAAAGAGGTTGTCCGTCGTGTTGGTTCAATCTAATTAAAATACAGACCCTGTGTTCACGCTTAGCTTGTATAGGGACCTATTGAACTTACAATACGGTGAACGTTTTTGCAATGTTTTTGAAGGCATAGCCGGCACTTTGTATATAATTGAATAAACTGTACCTGTATTATCGTGTGGGTCTGTTATAATGACATCGAAAGCACCACTTTGATCCTTTATGTATTCAATACCATCCCCAATAACTAATTCCGTCCTGACATCACTAAAACTTTCGGACAATTTTGGGAAATATTTCTTACAAACGTCAACAACTTTCTAAAACAACATACCTTACTTTTGATTACGCATATTACATTTGGTTGAATTGTTAAAAATGTTCTTGTTTTTATATAGAACGTTACTGCTTAAACAAAAATCTTGTCATCAACAAGATCAAAAACTTTAATTATTGGAGAGAACACATATCCATTTATGAAAATACCCATTTTGAAGTGTCAGAGAGAACATACAACTTTGATTCATTTCAATATATGAAATCATAAAAACCGAACACCTAGGATTTTATCAATTTAAAATTAACTTGAATCGAAAATGTTAAAATGCATTTAATCACGCGGATTTGATGTGTACTGCTTCCAATATTGTGTGCAGTATTGAATGTACTCTTTGCGTATCGATCTAAGTTGATGAAACACGACAAAGACTAAATGAAAGAATGAGTAATCACCGATCTAATGTTAATGATAAAAATAAAAATGGGTTCCATGAAAATTTATCATTCAACTAATGACCTCGTATTGAGTACACCATACCACTGACAAGTGATATTCACAGGATTACAGAATTAAAAGCAGCAACTGCTTGTGGATGCAACAAAGAAATTGATAAGATAGATTTATCGTCTAGTTCTAAGTGTAATGATATAAATAACTAAGAATTAATAAACACATCGGTACGACAGTATTAGTAGTCGTGCCATCGTAGATACACATAATCTGTGGATCATTCAGTGTCGTAAAGGTTAGCCCCAATCTAAAAAAAAAATTTGGTAATTCACCACATTCGTACTGAAATATTGTTCATACCATTATTTCTGCTCATTTCACAATTTAAATAGCAAAAGACCCCTTAGGAATACAAATTCCGCTAAATACAAACTTGCTGCAATAAATATGAATGTGGCGAGTTAAAAGCTTTTAAAACCCGTGACATAACTTCCAAAAATTATCAAAACATAGTTTGTTTTTTTTTAAAAAGAGACTGCTGTTAGGGTCAAGATGTTATCTTTAGTTTGAATATTTCCACCAAACGTCTGTACAAAAACAAAGTCTGATAAGTACACCTCATTTATACTCACATCAACAAGTTTGAATCCAACAAAAGAACCCAATATCCGCAAGCATTTCAATATCCAAACATTTTGAGTGCTTCCATTCCTCGTAGTAACACAGCTATAAAATGTGAGTGAGCAGGACCCCCCTCCCAACCCCTCTGAAGTGACATCAAGAGAGTAGCATCCAACCAACCATTTGATAACAAAAGAAAATCAAAACCGAAATATTAACCTCCCACCCTCCCGGTAAAAAACCCTCATGATAAACATACATACACACAAAAAGACCAAACGAACAAGAATATCAAATGAAAATAATCAAATAAAAAAACAAAAACAAAAAACAAATAAAAACATAAAAAAAACAAGAACAATAATATGAAAACACAACATAAACAATATTAAAACAGATAAACATCTAAAAGCCAAGACAAAATCTACTTGTCGTTTGTTTCTGTATATCATATTTGTTTTCGTTTATTGTTTTGTACATAAATCAGGCCAGTACTTTTCTCGTTTGAATTGTTTTATCATTTCGAGCCCTTTTATAGCATACTATGCGGTATGGGTTTTGTTCATTGTTGAAGGCCTTACGGTGACCTATAGTTGTTAACGTCATTTGGTCTCTGGTGGTGAGTTGTCTCGTCTCATAACAGTCATATCACATCTGATTATTTTTATTATTATTCCGTATTGTCACCTCGTCAATTTCGCAAACGACAACTTTTTCTACTGAATGATGCTTCAAAAGTTCTCTGGCTATTCCACCATCTCCTCCCCCAACAACCAATACCTGAAATATAAATAAGTCGTTTTAACCTACCATTAGTATTTCTTATTTTTAGAACGTTTACGTAACATAACGACATCTTAAGTCCAAAATATTTTATTTTTTTGTATCATTATGTGCTTTCGGTATATATCAAAATACATGGAGAAGACTTCACTAATGTTGTTATAACTTGTGTCCAATCCCTTTTGCTTCCTTTGCAAATAAAATATGTTTAAACATGTTAAACTAAACTGTCAATATACAATCCATTAACACAATTAAGTACATCATTCAACAAAAATAGTTCTATTCTGAAATTTTTGCACAAATACTTTGTTATTTTTATGTTCTTTGGGGGATATTTTTTATTCTATGGTACCTGTGAACCAAATTATTGCAATTATGTTATTTTAGACATTCAACATCATTTTCAATCTGATTAAAACATAGATCATGTGTCCTAGTTTCGCTTAAAAGGATTCTACTTTTTGTTTTAAAGACCTTTCGGGTTCTCTGGTTTGTCGTAATGATACACACCTTCAAATATTTGTAGGCAGGAATTTTATTGGCTGATGTTATCATTACCAGAAAAGAAAGTATTACGGAGTGTTTACAGAATCTTGTAAGCAATGCGTGGACACAAGATCTGTAATTTAATCAGATTGCATCATTTAACGACTCATTTTCCTACAGAAAAGAGATCCTTTTGTAATAACCGTGTTTTATTAAAGTTCATAGATACAACCTTAGATTTTGTATTTTGCGCATATTTTGAAGAAAAAAAAAGAAAAGATTTTATGATTGTAATGGTAATTAACCACAAACATGTGCTAGCATTTCAACATTTTTTAAAAAGATTCAAGGACCAATTTAACAAGCATTTGCACTAAAATATTTTTTTTAAAAAGAAGAACAAAATGCGTATAAGAGGCTTTTTAAAATATCTAATGATTGAAGATGGAAAAGGCAAACTAGACTATTGTGGATTCATTTATTTTCGGGTAAACCAATTTTCGTGGATTGATAAGCATTAGTACTTTCGTGGATATTTGATTTCGTGATTTTGTAAAAGTCTGCCTACCAACATATAGACTAATTGTACCTCGATGAAGATTTAAATTCGTGTTTAACTTTTACCAACGTATTCCACGAAAATATGTGTACCATGAATAATAATGAATCCACAGGAGTTAAAAACTTCAATACCGTTTTCGGATCTGAATGACAGTTCAGAGGTAAGTTAGCCATCATTTCGTGGTATACAAACTCGTCAAACTCTGCAACCTGAAGGGTTCCATCCAATACAAGAACATTTCCAAAAAATTGACTGTAAAAAAGGTTCCCTTATTATTGATTCAAACGATATTAATACATTGTAAAATATGCTCGTAAACTAAAAGGCCATTGGCATATATAACACAACTGGGAATAATTTTGTTTGATATTTTTTTCAACTTAAATATATAAGGTAACCCTTGGAGTTTGTGATTCGACAAAAATTGCCATTCTTTTCATATCGCCGCCGGTGGTATCAACGCCTTTAACACATAAACCAAATAAGAAGAGTCTTAGCAAACAATAAAAATCATAAGTCAAGCAAAGACAGGTAACGCATGCCGAAAGGAAAACAAAAATGTGATAATAGTCAACAGAATGTCTTAAGGATGTACACCTCTGAGGAGCCAAAAATTTCTAGAATTAAACTTTTTTCTTAACCTGATTTTTGGGTTTTTATGACTGTAAAAAAATAATTGGTGAAGAAAAAATCATATGGTGGTGCACTTCTTTTTTTGCTACGGCCATTTGAAAGTACCCAATTTTGATGATTTTCCCATTTTTGGGCTATTATCATGAAAAAAAAATCACAGTTTCACAATTAAACTTTTTTTCATAATTTCACTAAGGATGAAGTGGACCAATCTGAATAAATTTAACTTAAAAAAAACTATAGTTAATTGTTAATATAAGAAAGTTTTATAAAATGTTGTTGCATTTTCGTGTCAATTTTGTAAATTTGGGATTTTTCTCTTTTTTTTTAGAACAAAAAGCATATTATTTCAACTTCTTTGCCATAAATGATTGCAAAAAATACATATCTAAGAAATTTGAAAAGAAAAAATTGATATGGGATGTACATGTTTCTGATAGAATCATTTCTTGTACCTCTAACCCATTTTCTCAACATTTTGGCTAATGAGACTGACTTGATTGGTAATATAATTTGAAAATTTTATTACTTAAAAACTACTTATTGTAAATACACAATTTTTTTCACAGAGTTAAGTTTGATTATAATATTTTTTAAATTCATTGATATTTTCCACTTGTATCACATGTTTTGGAAATAATTCCAGAACGAGATTTCAACGAAACTGAAACGTCAGAGGAATACATCCTTAAGACAGAAAGTAAATATTGAGCAAAGCGAGCACTCGTCCATATACTCAAAGAAAACCTAATAAAAACCAAAACCGAGTAAAAATCAGGTGGTCTGGAAGTGTAAACATTTGACCGTAATAGTCCCAGCTCATAATAAATACAAATCTTTTGAGAATTCTATAAAATAACTTGGTATACACACGAAAAAACGTTGAAATTTTTCGAGGATATGGTTTGAACATAACCATTAAAAATCTTTGTAAGCAGCAGCACCCTATGAAAGCATCCCCATTATGACAAATGCAAAATAAGCACAAAAGATAGTTCGTAATTGGAAAGGAAACCATTATGAGAGACTGTTATTTCGGATGCACAAGACAGGATTTTTTTAACGGAGTGTCACCATGTGTTCTAACAGGTTCAAACTATGATACATCGTCCTGTTTTATTTTATAACATCTATATTTAGTTTCTGATATGACCGGAGTGAAACTAGTTTTGATGAACAACATTACCGGCAAATATTTCGTCAACACTTTGTAATCACTGCTTCATATATCAAGCAGTGACAAACTTGTATAATGAGATTTTAGAACTATTAATACGTGTTGCTTTCATGTAAAAATGCTTAACCTCAACAAAAACTCAAGGTTGAACATTTTTACATGAAAGCAATACGCTGCTGTAATTTTTGAATTCTTGGAATTAATATTTTATACAGTTTGAGCAGCACGAATCTCAACAAAAACTCAAGGTTAAGCATTTTTACATGAAAGCAACACGTATTAATAGTCCTAAAATCTCATTATACAAATTTGTCACTGCTTGATATATTATATTAAGTGCAATTGTTAATTTACATAATATCATGTTGCTGTATATCATATTTGTTTTTCGTTCATTATTTTGTACATACATCAGGCCGTTAGTTTTCTCGTTTGAATTGTTTTTCATCTGTCATTTCGGGGCCTTTTATAACTGACTATGTGGTATGGGTTTTATTCATTGTTGAAGGCCGTACGGTGACCTATAGTTGTTAATTTCTGTGTCATTTGGTCTCTTGTGGAGAGTTGTCTCATTGGCAATCAAACCACATCTTCTTATTTTCATAATATCGTCAAAAGTGGTGTATATATTTCATATAGTTCATGTACCTGTCCAAAACCAGAAATCTGTAGTACAGTCTATGTCGTTTGATGCCGTCTTTTGCGTTGATTGTTATAAGTTTAAATCAGGCCGTAAGTTTCCTCGTTTGAATTGATTTCTTTTTGTTACCCAGGGGAGCTTCTCTGCCTACTATTAAGTATGGGGTCTGCTCATTATTGAAGGCAGCACAGTGACTTGTATTTTACATCCTTGTACTTCGGTCTTTGGTTGTCGTATTGGAAATCATTCTTATTCTTATGTTTTACATGTGCATACTAAAAAGTAAAATAACAAAAATACCGAACTCCAAGGAAAATTCAAAACGGAAAGTTGCTTATCAAATGGAAAAATCAAAAGCTCAAACACATCAAACGAAAGGAAAACAACTGTCATATTCCTGACTTGGTACAGACATTTCCTTATATAGAAAATGGTGAATTAAACCTGGTTTTATAGCTAGTTAAACCTCTCACTTCTAACCTTTGCTGACCAGTATTTCCAGTAGGTCACTGACGATTCGCTTTAAAGTTTTAACTGATTAGTATGTTTAGTTCAGGTAAATAATAGTACAATGACGAAAGACAGACTTAATTATGGCGTCAGATATATTTATATAGGGTTGCATGGTTAGATCTAAAGCTAAGAATACTTTCCATGATACAACTAAATAATTGTTCAATTCTTTGCCAAAAAATATCATTTCCAAAACTCACCTTTTGAACACAATAATTTCTTGATATTGGGATATTTCTTTGTGCAAAAGTTTCTCCATTTTAATACCAAAACTTAAATCTGCATATGGCATTTGGTCGCATTCCATTCGGCACCATTTCCCGTCAATGACAGCCATTAGTTTGAAGTTGAAGCCTTTTTCCTAAAACGAACTGAATGACAATTTGCTTGAACACAAATAGATTAGGGTCTGGACGGGGTATACAGAATAAAAAATAATAAGCACAAAATACAGAATAAAGGGTAACAAAAAAAAGAAAGAATAGAGAAAAATAGGCTGTATATATGAAGAATAGAGAAAAATAGACTGTATATATGAGGAATAGAGAAAAATAGGCTGTATATATGAGGAATAGAGAAAAATAGGCTGTATATATGAGGAATAGAGAAAAATAGGCTGTTTATATGAAGAATAGAGAATAATGTGGTGCTAAATTATATTGAATGGAGAACAATGGGGCAAAATTAAAGAATGGAAAAAAATAGCCTAAACAGTTAGAGAATACAGAATTGATTGACCCCTATCAAGACCCACATAGAATGAGAAAAAAGGTATTTGCAATATATCTGCTTGGCAGTAATATTGAACTAGTCCAGTGAACATAAAAACTCTTCTTTTTATCAACGTAGCCTCAAAATTGTAAGGGAAAAGTTCACCAGCAAAAGTACATTGTATATACACAGAATATCACAACCGATACCAGACAATCTCAACCTGACATTTATAACAAATTCAGCTTGATAAAATCAAATTCGTTAAGAAATAAGAAAAACTGTTATCATACGTTATTGATTAAGAAGAATACTCATACACTGATATATAAAAAGTATGTTAGCTTTATTGATGAACTCACTGTCATTTTGTCAAAATCTCACTGAGCTGGCCTCACTTACCTGGCGGGAAAAGGTGATTCCAATGTCATTTCAAATTATATTGGTCCGAGTAATAAACTAGACAAGCTCTTATTTAGTTATCTATGGCATGACATTCTCCTATTTAATAAACAATTCACAGATTGACAACAAATTGACGAAATGTCGACCTACCCTATGTATATTTTTGATATCTTATACTAGAAAAGCTCAACAGGAACTTTTTTCTCGCTTAACCAGTTGGTTGAGATTTGATGGTTTACCAGGCGTGATATTGCATGTATTAGTTTCAGTCCATTTAACAGCATCCGGTACGATTTAAATTTAAAAAGATCAAGAATGACGATACAAAGCGTTTTCAAACATAAAACACACCTATATAAATTGTTATCAAATGATTAGATTTTTATATGAAAAGTCACTTTTGTCAACAGGATAAAGTTATAGAATAATGACCAAATAATATACATTGGTCTTGAAATTATTTATAACATTTTTCTCGGACTCGTAGTGATAAATTTTAACCCTGTATTATAACGGAAATATAAACAACTGTCATACAAGCTATAAAACCAGACTTAACCAATCATTTTCTTCGGAAAATGTCTGTACCTTGTCTGGAATATGACAGTTGTTTTCCAGTCATGCCGTTGTTTGTTATAGTCGAGCGTTTGAATGTTTGTGGACTTCTATCTTTTTTTTTTAATTTACCTCGGAGTTCCGTATTTTTTTATAATACTTTTTCAATCAAAAAATCGTCAACTGAACGTAAAATGAAAGTTTGATACGGATTACATATGACAACATCATGTTCATTACGAAACACCGGTAGGGACATTTTGTTGTTTCAAACTTGACAATTCTCTGTTCCAAGTTGAAATTTTTCAGTTCCAACTTTGAAGAGAGAAATGTCTAGTTGGAACAGAGAAATGTCAACTTGGAAGTGAAAAATGTCAACTAGGAACTGCAAATCTCAAGTTGGAAATGAGAAATGTCCATTTGGAAATGAGAAATGTTAACTTGGAACTGAGAAATACCAATTTGAAGTGAGAAATGACAACTTGGAACGGAGAAATGTCAACTTGGAACAGAGAAATGTCAAGTTGAAAGACAGAAATCAAAATGGAAATGAGAAATTTAAAAAAAAATAAAATGTCCTTACCTGACTTTTGTAGTACATACGTAACTAAAAGGGCATTAGCTACGAGATATCAACAAACATTAAAATATGATTTTCTGTTGCTCAATCATTTGTGAAGTGATAGAGTGAAATAATAATTCGCTTTTACCAGGAGATGGGTTACGCATGTATTCAGCTATTAAAAGGAAAAGAATGTCAACATTGAAAGTGAAACAAGGATCAACCATTTGGTTGACTGATTCGATCCACAAAAAATCATTCTACTACAGGTAAATAAAATGCTCTGCTGTGGCGCAGCTTGATACGACCGCAGAGGTCGAACCCTGAACAGTTGGGGCAAGTATGGACACAACATTCAAGCTTGATACAGCACTGAATTTGGATTGTAATTAAATATTTGACACAGCATAGGTTTCTGACACAGAATGAAAGTGGTCTAAGAACTTAAAAATTTTTAATTTACCTATTCAAACCATATCATTATTATTTGCTTTTATATATAAATCAGAAATAACCAATTTAAAATAGAAAATTTTAAAGAAAAAAAAGTTAACCCCCCCCCCCCCCCCAATTTTTTGAACCCCCTTATGATTCATCACCCCCAAACTCAATCCCAGCCTTCCCTTTGTGGTATGGTACCTTGCAGTACAATTTCAGAGAGATCCATACACTTGAACACAAGTTATTGTCTGGAAACTGGAAAAATGCTTGTTTTTTGGCCCCTTTTTGGCCCCAAATTCCTAAACGTTTAGGGCAATTACCCCCAAACTCAAACCCAGCTTTCTCTTTGTGATATGGAACCTTGCAGTACAATTTCATACAGATCCATACACTTACACACAAGTTATTGTCCTGAAACTAGAAAAATGCTTGTTTTTTTGCCCTTGTATGGCCCCTAATTCCTAAAATTTTGAGGGAATTACCCCCAAAATCAATCCCAGCCTTCCCTTGTGATATGGTACCTTGCAGTACAATTTCAGAGAGATCCATACACTTGAACACAAGTTATTGTCTGGAAAGTAGAAAAATGCTTATTTTTGGCCCCTTTTTGGCCCCTTATTTCTAAACTTTTTGGGCAATTACCCCCAAACTCAATTCCAGCTTTCCCTTTATGATATGGAACCTTGTTGTACAATTTCATACAGATCCATACACTTACACACAAGTTATTGTCCTGAAACTAGAAAAATGCTTGTTTTTTTGCCCTTGTATGGCCCCTAATTACTAAAATTTTGAGGGAATTACCCCCAAAATCAATCCCAGCCTTTCCTTTGTGATATGGTACCTTGCAGTACAATTTCAGAGAGATCCATACACTTGAACACAAGTTATTGTCTGGAAACTAGAAAAATGCTTATTTTTGGCCCCTTTTTGGCCCCTTATTTCTAAACTTTTTGGGCAATTACCCCCAAACTCAATTCCAGCTTTCCCTTTATGATATGGAACCTTGTTGTACAATTTCATAAAGATCCATACACTTACACACAAGTTATTGTCATGAAACTAGAAAAATGCTTGTTTTTTGCCCCTTTTTGGCCCCTTATTCCTAAAATTTGGAGGCAATTACCCCCAAACTCAATTCCAGCTTTCCCTTTGTGATATGGAACCTTGTAGTACAATTTCATAAAGATCCATACACTTACACACAAGTTATTGTCATGAAACTAGAAAAATGCTTGTTTTTTGCCCCTTTTCGGCCCCTTATTCCTAAAATTTGGAGGCATTACCCCCAAAATCAATCCCAGCATTCCCTTTGTGATATGGAACCTTGTGGTACAATGTCAGAGAGATCCATACACTTACACACAAGTTATGTCTTAAAGTTACAAAAATGCTTATTTTTGGCCCCTTTTTGGCCCCTAATTCCTTAACTGTTGGTACCATTACCCCCAAAATCAATCCCCCCCTTCCTTTTGTGGTATTGAACCTTATGGTAAAATTTCATTGAGATCCATTCACTTAAACTAAAGTTAGAGTGCGAAAACTAATGTGTCTTCGGACGACGACGCCGGACGACGACGACGACGACGACGACGACGTCATACCAATATACGACCACAAAAATTTTTTTGCGGTCGTATAAAAAGACGATTAATATACTTTTTTACCTACAATATTAAATCAAACAGACTTTGAAAAATCCAATTACACTTGGTCGTTATCTGTTTATATTCATATTTATGTGTATATCGGGTTATATGACCGTCGGCAGTCTTCGGAGGTCATCTCGATGGTTCATTAGATGACGTCTAGACAAAAATACACACGAAATGTTGATACATATTATCGAGTCCATGCATTGCTTATTGTTTATTTTAGACTTTTTGTAATTTGAATATACGTTTTAGTATGTAATAAATCTAATATGAGAATTTGAGTCAAATCAATGAACATGAATTTGACAGCTAATGCCCCTTATTTAAACAAGCAAAAGTAAGTAAAAAGTAACGGAATTGCATACTTATTAACCTTTTGTCTTGCTTCAATTAATAATTATATCTTAATCTATTTAATGTTTTGACTCATAAAGGTGAGCTTTTAGAACATATCGAAAAAAAAAAAACATTTTTCATTCAAAGTTTATAGGAGAAAAAAAAATAGCGGGGTTCAAATATTGAAAAAAAAATCATATTTAAATGAGTTTTAAAATATTAGTAAAGTAAAATTAATAGAAACACTTAAAAATTACTTTCAAAGAAATTTCAGTAGACAATGTTGATTGTTCACGATAACATGTTCAAGACAGATATTTTTTTTTATGTAGATAAGAATCTTTAAAAAAAAATATTTTCAAGTACAGATAAACATTTTTTATGCCACGCCGTAGCGGTGGGGGCATTAAGTTTTACCCTTGTCCGTCTGTACGTACGTAAGTACGAACGTACGTCCCAAAATTGGTTTCCGTTCTCTCACTTGAGTTTGCCTCAACCAAATGTTATGAAACTTATACACAATACTTAATACCGCAAAACACAGATCAAGTTTGAATTTTGGTGGCGTCACTTTAACCGTTCTAGAGTTATGCCCCTTTATAAATGGAAAAATTGCAAAATGTTTAGTTTTCGTTCTCTTACTTAAGTTTGCCTCAACCAAATGTTATGAAACTAATACACAATGCTTATTACCACAAAACACAGATCAAGTTTGAATTTTGGTGGCATCACTTTAACCGTTCTAGAGTTATGCCCCTTTATGAATGGAAAAATTGCAAAATTTGTATTTTCTTCTAAATATCAAGTAATTTTTAAAATTGGAGTTATCTTCCTTTGTCCATGCTTATAGTTGAATCAACTACAATCAATGCTTTATACAATGCAATGTTTAATTTTGACTTCCACCGATAAAACACAGATCAAGTTGAATTTGAGTTGTGTCACTTTAACCATTATTGAGTTATGCCCCTTTATAAATCTGGGTAGCGTCACTTTTAGCGTTCTTCAGTTATGTCCCTTTATAACTATATGATCTGCAAGCGGGGGCATCATCTGTGTCCACATGTGGACACTATCCACATTTATTTTTTATAGTTTTTGTAAATATTAATTTTCATAACTATGGTCAGTGGAGTGGCTGGGCTTAAATAGAAGTGAAACCTCCCTTCGAAATATTATCTATATTAACAAAAGGAGTAAAGGAAGTCACATAACCCTTTATCAAAAGCAAAAAAAAGACAAAAACAAAAAATATATCATACTTTATTGAACAACACGATGCCCCTAAACTGATTTTGAACCTAGAGGCTGCGGAAGATTCATTTTGCTTAATTAATAGTACATTTTATTTGTATTCAAATTCAAATTCAAATTCTTTATTTCCTAATCACAGGGCCCTTTCAGGCATTACCAAATTTAACACGATCATTCACACTTTCATACCAATCTTTCTCACTCCGCTCGCTCTGATTATGTTAATTAGATACAGTACACTAGAACATACACAAAAGTCATTTATCATATGAGTATAAATCATACCAGTTCAGAAAGTGAATAAAGAGAGATAACTCTGATTGTTGAAATAAACATTTCTTTTTGCCAGGTAGATGGTTATTATGATTGAGTACAATTATGCTGTTTTCTTTCTGCAAAGTTAAGCTTAAAAAATTCACACAATAAAGATAAAAATGTGTTGTCTTCGTTTATCATTATCCATAAAAACAGATTACATTTGTATTTAGATATTTTACATTGGGGAATTTGTTATCAATCTGAGATCGTAAAGTTACCAGTCTCCTATGGTTAAATTTAGGACATTGAAGTAAAAAATGTGCTTCGTCCTCTACTTGGTTTAAATCACAGAACTGACAAAGCCGTTCACATCTGGGTAACAGTTGTAGTTTTCCAAGAGAGTTGTATTTTCTCTCATGCCTTCCAGTTTCTACTCTTAGAGATTGATTACTTATTCTAAATTTAGATAGCATTATATTGATCGATTATCTTTATTTCTTATATCTAATTATTTTTCAAACTGGAATGCAGACTTAAATTTTAAGAAAGTATCTAATTTTCCTTGTTTATCAGGTGCAGATTCGTATTGTTTCTTTTCGAGACTCTTGATACTGATCGCCCCAAGATATTTTCCTACTTTTCTGTTAACAAATTCTGTTGCAGTAGGTCAATAAGATATCGCCATCTTAGATTGTAAAATAGTAATACATGTACACAAACGGTTTAGTTTTTTGCTTATATCTGCAAATTTTGAGACAAATCTGGCAATTAATGTGAAAGACTGTTTATTCAAATAAAGAACAATAATGATTTATTGCCCTTTTTAAACCGTTTTAATAAATACTAAGTATTTATTTTGTTCAATTTATTTTGTCAACTTAGCCATAAAAGGGGAGATAATTATTATAGTAAACATTTTATTAAGGACTGTTAATTTTAATATTTTTAGTTATATCTCACTATACAAATCCTTGGTTATTGCAAGAAAATATTAAATAAGTTCGGTAAGCATTATTTCCTTCTCTTTTCTTAAAGTATATTATAAAACCTATCTTCTCATATTTTATTTCAGAATTCGATCTCCTAGATTTCTTTTTTCACATAAAAGTGTTTTTTAATGAATAATATATACAAAATTGTGCAACTTTGTACTACTTGTAGCTTGTAAAATAGCACGATGACCCATACTCATTATTATATTTTTGAAAAAAATCATGGTAAAATCTACATTTTGGCAAAGGATAAGAAAATTCTATCCGAGGAAATATATAATGATGATCCACCTTAA